TAGATGACCATAGGAGATTTTCTTACACTGCATTTGTGGTGAAATTTGTCATACCTTTGTGGTAAATTTGCTGCAATAATAAATATTAGTACGACGGAGAACAACCCTAGAAGCTTTCATAGCACTTACGCAGAAGCCCAGTTTGAATGTTGCAGGCAGTAATGGGATAGGAACTTTGAGTCTGGTTTTAAGAAATTTATATTAATCCTAGATGAGCTCCATTTTTTTTCCCCGTGAGTCAAGTCACCTAGTGCTAAGTGGATGATCAATACATATAAAATGTGTATTGCAGCAAGGAAAGCATGTTCTGGGCAACCATTAGCAAAACACTTCTAGGGAAATTTAGCATCTTAGACGTAATTAGGCTCCTTAGGCCTGTACAACTTGAGGTTAATTATGTACTTTGCATCTGAGAGTACTTGATAAATGGTTCATCATATCTGCAGTCAAAATGCCCTTGATTCGGGAGCGACTCCTCTGCGTGGCTGTTTCTCCCTTTGGGGGCACATTCGGAGCAGCAGGGCCCTGTGTCCGCAGGAGTCTCTGTGGGGACGTGTCCCTGCTCTTTGGTGACGTGTGTAACGGGCAGCTGGGAGCGCAGAGTGCACCCGGAGCGGCTCCAGATGCCCCAGAGCAGTTTCAGGAGCTGCATTTCTCAGCAGCCACGAAGTCGTGCTGTCTGTTCAGATGGGCCTGTGGCCGGGCTGGGGGACCCTGTGGGATCTTGTCATTTGGAGGCTTTTACCTCTCTTGTTGTATTTGACATAGTTTGTAATCAGATGTAACATGACAGCAACAGCTTGACAAGCTGATAATACACTTCACTTGCAAAATTCCGGTGCGAAGACTGCAAACACATTTTTATTTAAGCTATGTCATGTTTATGCATAGCAGGAGGATTGCATTTTGCTGTAGATCTGCCAATAGAAAGTCTGGGGAGATCTTGAGGATGATTGATATTTTTCCAACTTCTCAGAAGTTTAACTTGCCTCAGTCACACTAATTTATTTGGACAGTCATTCAGATACAAAGCACGAGCTGAAAGAGGTTCTCTGCTCTTTGTTCCCTGAAGCATGTGTGCTCCATTTTCTAGCCATTAGTGTGTTTCATAACTTTTTATTATTTCTTTATTGTTGGAGAGTGGAAGAAGGTAGAAAAGGAATTTGAGTTTTTTCAGGACTCACATCTGTTGGTTCATGAGAGAGAATATCATTAAGAGAGTTTTGGTTTGTTTCTCTTTGTCCCTGCAGTGTTAATGATCCTATGAGCAAGTTTTGCAATTTCCCTCACCCTTGTTAGACCTGTTACCCAGTAAGGCTCAGACGTGCACATCTCCGTAGTTAGGAATATGCAAAGTCTGGCACTTTTGGCACTTGGGCTACTTGGCCAAGCAACCAAGCGTTTAGGTACCTGTTTGCTGACGGATACTGCTGCATCCAAAGCCAAGTTTGGCACAGGGAGTGACACACTTCACTCACTGGCCTCTCCTGTCCACTTTGCACGGTATTTTGATGTTAAATATAGCCACCTGGATTACCACTTGTAACTCTGATAAGCAAAATCAAATCAAGGAGGACATATATGAGAAGAGGTCTTCCTGTATTACCTAATATGCAGCAGTAGGGATATGGTTTAATTCTGGCTGGCAACCATCAGGCTCCTTCATCATCTTCCCCTGTTTCCTTAAGAGAGGGAAAACAGCATTTTATCCCCTGCCAGGGAACGGGTAACAGAAGAAAAAAAGGTGACAGCAAGTTTCAGCTTCATCTAAACTTGCTCTAGCTTCCTGCAGTGGCTTTGAGGGATGATCCAGGAAAACCTGGAATTTGCCCTGCTGCTGCCCCCTGCCAGGGTAGCAGGGCAATGCCCGGCTGCCTGGTGTGGCGCTTGGACTGTCTGGTGACCGTCTGGGTACCCGTCTCCTCACGAAGCTGCTCTGCAACGCTTTGAGGTCGAATAGTGCTGTATGTATTTCTCCAGGTCAAATCTTGTCACTTCTACTCGTTTTCACTAGACTCCCTCAAGTAAGATTCTGCTTAAACAAGTCTGAGCATCGACTAAGGAAAATATAAAGATCCCCATGGATGCTCTGCATCTGGCACATACACACAGGAGGTGGCTGTTCAAATGGTGTCACTTGGCACTCTCTTTACTCCTTCAGAATGGGTTTTCATAAGGATTCATCTCCATGGAATTAGGAGGAGGAAGCAAGGAATTAATAAGCGAAATAGTATTTTTAACAGAGGGTGTTTTCTAACAGCTCTATTTAAATCTGTATATTTATTTAAATAGAAGTCTACAATAAGAATATCCATTCTCTACCTTTCTGCTTGTCTGACATTTTAACTGGGAGGGAATGTTTTTCTATTCCTACCATTCCTATCAATTTCATTGCTATGGCATTACTAAATCATTCATCTGATTCAGTTTATTGCTTTACTGGGTATACGCTGTGCAGATGAAACTGTAGTTTTTTTTGAATGTCAAATCATATTTCAGAAAACTTTTTGATATTATATTTGTCCCTGGAAAACACTAGACAGAAAATTACATTGATTAAAACTGTATTCATTATCAAATCCACAAAAAATGTTTTTTGAATGAATAGCAGTTTATCAAGCATTATGTCATAAAAGACAGTAACTAAAGAAAACCAAAATAAAACATTCAGTTTCATTATTGAACATTTTTAGCTTTATTATTATAATAGAATTACAGTCTGACATAAAATAAAGAGCTTTTGCTAAACTCTGTAAAGCAATACATGCTTCTGCCATAAACAACCTCTATTAGATTTAGGTTTTATTGCCACATCACTGCACTGAGGTGCAATAAACATTCAATGTCATCTTTTGAAAATTATCCCAGGAGTAAACAGAAACTGTCCTCTATAAGAGTGTATCATTATTTTCAAGGAAGACTTACTATTATTACATGGTTTAGCAAAGCACTGTAAAAAAGCTACATAGAGGATACCTTGTCTTTGATAAACTGTGCAATCAAGTTTATACAGTATAATACTATTCTCATAGACTAACAAACTAAGAGGTGATATAATGCAGTCATTGCATAGCAAAAAGCAGACTAATTAAGTAATAATCACATCTAATGTGCAAAATGCAGACCAAAAGGTAGCTATGAATTTAGAAAGATAAAATGCCCTAAATGAACACACTAGAATAACGCCAAAAATAACAAGATAAACAAGTACACAGAAGTTAAAGAGCCATAGTTTATTTTTTTCTATACATATATCTACACATGATACCAGAAGATGAAACACCCTCTTTGAATAAGCTTCAATCAGATAACTTATTAAGTTTAGACAGGACTAAATGTTAGACAATGAAGCGTTATTTAAAAAAAAAAATCTAAATAAAATATTAACTATTTCCTTTTGTAGATATAGAATGGCAACTTCTGAATTTATTGAGAAAGAGTTTATAAAACATTGCCTGAAACATGAATATGAACTTTGACTCTCGTTAGCTATTTCGCTGCAGGCTCATGTAGCAGTGTTTTTAAGTTCATTCAATACCATATATTAACAGTTTCTGAACTGATGCTTGCAACAATCCACTAGTCTTCCAGTTTCTGAAAAATCCTTATCTGATATTTTGTGTTTCTAAGAATCAGCAGTCCCAATACTGACTAGAATTGTTGGAAGGGAGCACAATACCTGCAAAATGGACATCTTGTATTTAAAGCCCTTACATATTGTTCCTACAAATATATTGCTACAGTAAAAATGAAATGTAGTAAGTTTACTCAATAAAATCTATTTTCCTGTACATTCTTTTGTGTATGACTTTGTATTTAATGCTACATATATTACATCACTTATTGTAACAGTTATGTATCAGCAAATATAGCAGTAATATACAGATGAACTTCTGTCTTAACAAATATTTCACCATTTTTACCTACCAAATATAATCCCGTACTTTAGTATTTACGCATGACCTGAGCAGACCAGTCATTAATCTAATAGTATACATTGGATGACATTGTCAAATTGCAAGCTACTGTACACTTAACCACTTTACAAATGGAATTAATTCCAAGCACTTTCTATGTTTTTTTTAGGCTTTCCAATACGATTGATTTTTGTTGTTGTTGTTTTAATCCAGGCTCTAAATATGTTTTATTGAGCATTTAACAACATATTAAGAGCTAAGAGGTGAATCCTACATAATGTTTTAAGAACACAACTTTAAAAAAGTAAAAAATGTACAATCTCATGCTGCATATTTACATATATTATTTAAATACTATATTTTGTCTTTCTGCTATCCATAAATTTCAGTCTAAAGCTTTTTTTTTAATGTATCATTTTATAAAAGAATACATTCAACATATCTAGAGCTTGCAAAACTTTTTTATTATTATTATTTTTAATTTCTAAAACATAGTGATGTGTAAAAGCTACCTGTAAAAGCCTCCAGGAGTAGTTTGGATTACACAGGAGACAAAGGGAATTTGGGATCTGCATTTGATTGTGCAACTGATTTTACATCTAGTCTAGTGACAACTTAATGCTTAGAACAAGACTGCAATAAGACAGCAGATTAAAGCATCTGTTACCATTAGATCAAATGTGCTATACAGTGATAGACTGTACCTAGTGTGAGCAGGTATCCTTTTTCTTTCACGATCATTTAATATTGTAAGTCAAGTAATTTAGAATATAGAAGGGGAAAAAGATAGGAAAATAAATTATCTTATGGAATTCAACAAATGGAAAGCTTTATGTCCTTGAAAAGTTTATAAACAGTGTTCAAATGCATGGTAAGTACACTATAGTATGTGCAACATGAACATCATACAGAACATTTTTCCCACTCCCCACAATCCCTAGAATAAAAATAGCTTTTTTTCATGTACATATACAATATCTTTTTGGGACATTCAGCAATACCCTATCTGTAAGTGTATTCTGTTTTTCTTTGCTAGAATTCTTCCTTTCTCTTTCCCAGAATCACTTTTCAGAAGTAAGTAACTCATTGCTCTGGAGTTGGGGCTTTTAACTGGGGCTCCCGGTTTAAATAAGTGGCCCAATAGACTAAATTAAAGATTCCAAAAAGCAGTGGGAAGGCTATTCTTGATAGTCGATCAATTTTGCTGACGCTGTTAAAAGTTTTCTTGGGTTCTGCAGGTTTTGTTTCTGGTTTAACTTCTTTGGGCTCTATTGTTGCACTTTTAGCAATGGTTGCCAGCCCAGGGTCCCTTGCAATATTAGGGGTGTAGCTTGTAGCTGCAGCTGTATATGTGTTATTTTTCTTAATGAGAGGATCCTTCACCTTCTTTGGCTACAGAAAAAAGAAAATATTTTATTCTTACTGTCATCTCAATAGATAATATTATGACAAAGCACCGTAATATTTTGCCACGTATACAATGTATACCAAAATTGTATTAAGATTTAAGTAAAAACTTAGTATCTATAAGTGTGATTTATGCAAAATATTTAGGTAAAGCTAATGACAGAATCATTCTTTTTGATTATTTTTATTAATTAAACCAAATTATAAGTAAGCTGTAATGAAGATTTACTGATAGTTAGGATCACCGATACATAAAATTTCCTATAATGGCAATGAACAGTATCAAGCCATAATTCAATGTTCCCTTAATCAATTGTACTTTTTGACCAGGAAGAATACTCTGAGACACTGAATTGCTCAACGTAGCTTTCCAATATTAAGATAAATTATGTTGAGACAATCTTACACAATTTGTACTGAAAAACATCATGTGACTAAGCAGTAAAGAGAGGATTATTTAATAACATGGAAAGCTGCTTAATATTCTATATGCTAAGCATTTAGATCAAAAGCAAATGCTTTACAAAATGCTTGCTGAGTAGCACTCAAAAGAATAAGTGCTTGTTCTGAGTGCTACAACTGGGTCATGAAGGCTGAAATGTCACCCCAAATGCAATGGCTTATAGAGCTGCATGATTTTGGTGTCCGTCTGCATATACTGTTAAAGCAAAAAACCTAGAAAGACAGAAAAAAAAAAACTTATAAAAGATGGAAAATCTTAGTTAACTCGATGATCAGAAAGAATATCTAGATTTTGATCTGGGTCCTCATGCTTTATTGTATGCTATTTGTGAGGAGGGGAAAAAGTGGCCTCTGGAGGCCCAGCAGGAGTAAAGCTGTGCCTGGTGCAGAGCATCCTCATCTTCCCTGCAGTCACTGCACAGACAGAAGAGATGCAGTGGATGGGTGAGGAGGCCTGAAAAAAGCCCCACTTTGCTTCAGAGACCTTGGGCTATGGAAAAACAAACAAAATAGACCCAAAGAGCTTAGAAAATGTTTGAGTTGTGTTTGCCACAAAGAAAAAACAAATGCCTGCTGTTTGATCCTGCAGGAAGATCACAACAATTAAAGAAGAAAAAGGGTAGGGCTAAAGTACCCTAAAGTAAAGTTCTTGCTGCTTTGCAAGGAAAGGGATGCAGGTGCTGCCTGCTGTTGCTTCTACTGGTTTTGTTGTTGTTGTTGTTTTGTTTTTTCCTCTGAAAATGTAATTTGTCTTTGAAACATGTGAAATGGATGTATTGCAATGCAGGTTATATAAAGTGAGGCAATAGTATTTGCTATTTAAGGATTTAGTTCTTTTAGTACAATCTATTTAAAAAAAAAAAAACATGAAGCTGAGAGCACCACAGAATCGGAGAAATAATTTTCATTGAAACTGTCGTCAGTAACTGAAAACTCAATATTTGCCAGAAAACAATTGTGTGGCTTGTTAGTACCAGCTCATTAAGTTAGTTCATTCTTGTGTTCTACAATACTTTTATGTTAGCCGGTGTTGTATAAATGTATAATGTATTTCTTTTTTATTTTATTAATAAATGACTTATGGCACTAAAACTGAAAAAAAAAAAAGAAAACAAGCAAAAAAAATTATATCTAGACCTATGCTCCTAAATTAAACACATATTTGTGTACCAATGAGGAACATCTCCTCCTCCAAATATTTGTTCTGCTGAAGGTCTAGCCTGTGCGTGTTCATAAAAAGCAATTAGACAACTAAAAATTATCTTTGGAGGACTCTTAAAAAGTAGCGAAATGAGCTTCCTCGCAGAGGCAGCTGACACGCTAATTCCACGGAAATGCAGTTTTGTCTCAGCAGTCCCCATGGGCGCTGCGGCAAGAGGCTCTCCGAGGCCTTCCACGACGGAGGAATCGGGGTTGTGCAACCCCGGCCTAAAATTAAGCGGGTGCTCCTGGCTAAGGAGGAAAACAGGTGGGATTTCTAGTTTACAAAAATTGGGAATGATGGGAGGGGCTTGGCCTGGACCCTTTGTCCTGCTGTGCCGGACAAAGCTGCCTGGGAAGGAGCAGAG